TGCATATCCACTTCTTACTTCACATTAACTAAGTAAGATATATATGACCTGAGAGAGGACGTAAAAACATGCAATAAGTACTGCGGCAAATATAGATTTTACTCTTTGTGTGAGTATTCTCATTGTTGCTGTTGTTTGAGTAGATACTGGTAGTGCTTAGCGACGTGACCCGTGAAAAGCAGACTCCTTTTGTTGTTATTTTGGAGGTTTATAAAATGTAAATACCAGTGCAGACTTTGGTGTTTTTATGTCAAGCCACCTTGACAACGACTTGAAAACACCATTGTTCATGACAGCATCTGTAGTCAAAGGACATGTTTGTCTGACGTTCGAATCTTGTTTTTCAATCAAAAATACAAACTCTACAACTCCTCTACCATATCCTCTAAAGTCAGGGGCGTCTAAAATGGTATATAAAATCACAGGATGAACGCTAAAACAATTTTGTAACTACAAGCACACCCGTTGTCAGAGAGTACTTGTACCATACCCTGATCCTCACTCATGAGAGAGACTGCTGCAAATTCAGTCTAAACATCATAAATCTGACCTGTGATGCGGATGTACTTTTACTGTTAATGAGCTTAACACTTGAACGCTTTATTTTTAGGGGAGGGTGTATTTATTGCTGTACTTTGGGTCAAATTTTGTTTGCTGATCAGTGCATGTCAGTGTGTGTGTGTGTGTGCGTGTGAGTGTGTGTGTGTGTGTTTGCCTTTGTGTTTCGGCAAGTACTATTAGTTCAACGCACCTTTCCCAAAACCTGAATTTTGAATTTCACTGTAAATTTTGGGGTTTTCATCATACATGTATTAGCTACCAGTAGATCAATTCTACAGTTAATCATGGCAGATTGCAATTAAATATTTTTAAAGCAGATTTGCATGTGGCATTCAATCTGATTTTCATATGTGTCCCTGCATTTAATTTGTAAATTATTGTAAACCATTTCTTCATTGTCGCATAATAAATCACTGTTGTTGATTGTTACAAGTTGTATGTGGAGCATATGTGTGGGAGAGAGACCCGTGTTTAGAAAGATAAACATGAATTATCAAGGATTAAAAAGGAAATTTGATGTCCCAGCTTTTGTTAGAAAATATGGAGGAAAGAAGCGTTTATGTTTGTACCTACGTCTATTAAAATAAAAAAAACAGACATTTTGGGTGACATGTCTCATGAAGTGTGGACAAATAATCAATTTTGGGAGGTTTGAATATCAAGATCTCATACATTTAGAATTGATCCCTTTCTGTAGACTTGTCTATCTTTGAAAAAAAAAAAAACAAACAAACTGATATTCCTTTTTTATGTGAGGGAAGAATCTAATGTAACTTTCCGATGAGAAGCCCACAGTTAGTTAAAAACGAAGTAATTCAGTTCAGACAAAGCTTTATATAACCAGTATATAATCAGTGCATGCACATTCAGTAACAAGCTGATGAGCCTTTTCAGAAAACTTTGATTTAAACTTTTAGGAAATAATTTATATTTTCATAGTCATGTGTTATGTCATGATAACATATAAAGGAACAGTTTTAAAACTTTTGTCAGTCCTTTGGACCGACAAAGTAATTTTTATCAGTCCAGAGAAATTTTGTCAGTCATGACTGATCGGACACACAGTTTCAGCATGTCTGCCCTGTAGTCAATACACTATTGTATTGTTTGAAGAAAGCGGCTGTGAAGCATTTGGAGAAAATAAAAGGGGAAGGGAGTAGGGGTAGGACACTCAGTCTTTGTCACCTTTACCTGGTAGCGAATTTCCCTCTGCTTGAAATTCAGATGTTTTTTTAAGAGGCAGTTTTTCAGTTGACCCAAGGTTTCTGCTTCTGAGATGTCCCAACTGACCTTCACTGAGGTTTCACTGTTGATCTTCTTAATGACAAGGCTTTGATCTGAAAATGGAATGTAGATTGCACATATAAATTTAATAATAAAAAACAAAGCATAGTACTGATGACGTTTTATATTTGAGTAAAGATGAACTGTAAACTCTCCACCGCACTTCCTTTGTTTGCTTAGTTCAGAAATTTCCTAATGGTGTGTGTATAGGGGGAGCTATATATAGATGGCAGTTTCAAATACATGTATGTACTACATTAGGTATATATAGTAATACCATTAATTAATATAGACTGCTAAACATTATAATTATCTGTTAGTGAGGACGAGTTCACCACATCTAGACATTGATCAGTTGTGTAAGCTAAGTATGGTGCCATAAGTACAGTGAGAAGCACAGGTACTCCACCATACATGTAGGTGTGGCCCCTGTCCAGGTTACAGACATATTTGTACCGTGCAAAAAACAGTTTAACTGTGAAACTCGTAATTTAAGTCAAAGTTTTGGTACTCCAAAAGGTTCCATGTATCTATTAATCAACAATATATGATATCATATTATTCTTTTACCTGTTTATGTATCCACCTCCTACTTCACGTTAACTTTGTAAGATATGACCTAGGAGAGGAAGTATAACACACAATAAGCCCTGTGCTAAATAAAGATTCTTTTCTTTGTTTGGGTTTTTCCATTATTGGTACCTACTATATAGCTAGTGACTGCATAGTGCGGCTACTCTCCAAAAAGCAGACTGTTTTTGTTGTCATTTTTGAGGTTAAAAAATGTAAATTATTACATGTACAGATTGTTTTGTTGAATATTGTGACTGCCATGATCACAGCATGTATCAGTGTGTTGTTGTGTGTGTGTCAGGGCTATTTTCTGACCGTCTTCCAAATTTTCTTTGTTGATCCATCCTTTTTTTTTTTTTTTTTTGACCGTCTTCTGACAGAAAAAAAATTAGATACCCGTCAATGTAAACTTGAAAATCTGACCGTCTTCCAGAAGACCCAGAAGACGGCCTCAATCCGCCCTGTGTGTGTTGGGGTCGATGGGGGGTGGGGTAACTTTGTCTGTGGACCGGTAGGTGCATTCAGTATGTATGTGTGTGCATGTGTTTGTGAATGTGTGTCAGTGAATTTGTCCGTGGATGAGTAAGTGCATGGACATCAGTGTGTGTGTGTGTGTGTGTGTGTGTGTTAGTGTGCCATTAAAACGAATCTGGATAGATAAACACCCTTCTTCTGGGTTTAATCATGCCTTGCTACATTTTCGTTTCCTGGATGCTACAATATTCACATAAAATATGGTGGGGGGGGGGGGGGATGATTTACACATGTTGACCAGTTTGATCATCATACAGACTTGACATTTAATATGGAATATTTCAATTTCGAAGGTATACCTAGGTAAAAATACGTTATTTTTTCAAAAACGCCGATCTCATATAAGATTTGTGAATGTAAAAGTGTGCAGTCAGGTGTGTCACTACCAATTAACTGACTTTCATGCCTGTTGCGCTTCTACATTATGTAATTTGCAGAGATTTAATTGGGTAGTGTTCCTTTGGGCTGATCAAAGCTTGGCTTAGGCAAAGCTTGGTTCTGTCAAAAAAGTATCCATATTTCGGCAACTATTGCATAGAAGAATTCGAAATTTTGCATGCAAGCCGTCAGTTTTGCAGTGCGTAAGATGAGTCAAGTAGTGCATTACAAATTTGTTAATCTAAGGCAGAAGGGCGCGAAAAAGACAGACATAACCAGACAGATCATAGCGCCAAACGGAGCGGCCCCACAGTTTCATAGAGTAATGCCCAGACTGATGTACCTACACAGAGGTCACCCCCAAAGTATCAAAATTTTACCTACAGGGTACAGGACCCACTGTCTTTCGGGATACGCTGCTGCAACTAAACAAAAAACACTTAGTCCGTTCAGAACGAGGGGTAAATTGCCACTAAAATGCGTTTTTCAAAGCCCTTAGCGAACTCCAAACTGGTTGTAGCAGGTAAGAACACCAAATGACCTCCAAGGTACCCACTGTATACAGCAAAACATCGTCGTCTGTTTCTCTAATGAATTGGGGGCCATGAACGATTCTGGGTAGAACACTGAAACTGCGTGGCTTTCTTCATTGAGGTCAGATTTCACCTGTACCGCCCAATTAGTCAAAACAGAGTTTACAGACATTCAGAAGAGGCCTACGACAAAGCATATGCCGGGTCTAAAGTGACAAGGGTGATTGACAGCGTCAGTATTTGGAGTAGATTCCACATTGGTGCCAAAACACCAATGGTAGTCATCGACGAAAACCTGAACCAGATCAAATAAAGGAATAATCTCGGAACCACTTGACTATCATTTGATAGGGGGCACCTTAGGAACAATTCTAGGCTGCACGATGAGGTTGCAGGTTCACACAGAGCACTTTTAATAGCAGATAACTTACAGAACCAAGGAAATGAGCAGCTACCCTGGTCATCAAAATCGCCACATTTGAACCACATAGACAATATTTCGGTAGACCATTACTCACCAATTAACTGCCTACATGTCCTACAACAAAACTGGACCAGATTGGACAATTTTAGACCGATGCCTGGAATGCTATTCCAGATTGAACTCTAAAAACCTACCCCCAAGGAATGCCTTGCCGCTTGAGAGCGCTGGCAACAGCCACGAAGAGGCCAGGAGTAACAACGACCATTACTGTGACTAGCAACTGACATGAGGATCTTTTGTGTAGCGTATTACCCTTTTACAGACGATAATTTGGAAAATATGGAGATCCAAAATATCTCTTTTAATGGGAGTCGTATGACATAGAATAGGCAATGTATTTTTGTTTGCTTCTCTGGCGAATTCCATTAATGAACTGATGTCACAATGACATCAAAGAGATAATTTTGAGTTATTAAAACACGATTTTAATCCTTATTTTCATTTATCAGTCAGCAAAATAGGAAAAAACTGATAAAAAATTATTTCGAAAAAAATATTCCATATTAAATGTCAAGTCTGTATTTAGGCCTATTCCTGCATGTTATTTATAAAGCCCGTCATTTGATCATGAAATGATACTTAAAAATGACTTCTCATTAAATTATCTTATACCCTTACCAATTCAATTACATAACTGTCGTTTATTGTTCCAGGTTGTATGTGGAGCATATGTGGTATTCATGACCAGGGATGGGGAGAGAGACCCGTGTTTGGAAAGATACGCTTTATGAATCATCATGGATGCAAAAGGAAATTTGATGTCCCAGCTTTTGTTAGAAAATACGGAGGAAAGAAGCACTAATATCTGTAGCCATGTTTATTTTCAAGAACAGGCATTATTTGTTACATATAATACATGTAGATATGGTTCATGGAGTTCCCTGTTGTAAAAGGTTATGATATCTGGAAGGATGATTATCCTTAGCTTGTAAGAATTTCAAGGATTCATGGTTTCATAAATTAAGGATTGACCCTTAGTATGATGGACAGAATATGAAGACTTAAAGGGTTTTGAAAAAAAAAATATATATATATATATATTTAAGAGGGAAGAATTTCATGAGACTATGATGAGAAGAGTATATGGTTAGTTGGAATGTAACCAATTCAGTTAAGAGAAGGTTTCATATTTACCAGTGCATTCACATACTAAGCTGATGAACCTTTTTATAAAACCATCATGCATTTTGAATTTGAGAAAATAATTGATATTTTCATAGTTATTTTAAGTGTCATGATTAAATGTAGAAGACAATATGTAGTTTGTTTGTGTACTTTTACCTGACAGAAAATATAATGGATTCATTATTTATCTCAATGATATTAAAATTGTACATTTGTATTGTACATTTGTATTAAAATTGTACATTTGACAGAGTTATTGATCTTAAAGGGATTTTTTTTCCCTTTATTATCTAACACCACAAATGTTCACAGATTCCATAATGACTGACTTAAACTGTGCATTTTTTTTAGAGTGATTGACATAAAAAAAAAACAGGGAAGGGTAGTTTTAAAAAACACACAACAACATTTGTTTACTTTAAGAATATATTGTTATTTTTATTACATCACAATGTTAACAGTTGTCTAGTGCAACATTACCACAGTTCAGACCACTTATAGATAATAACAGTACAATGAGGTTGAAATAACTCATCATTAATGGCTTTTTAACTTCCTAAATCTAGTTACATCACATTATATACTGTATAATGGATTTCTCTATTAATCAAATTCCTTCTCACAGTAATAGAAATTTCCTTCTAAAATAATCTGGAATATACACTGTGAACAAATTAAAAACATGTAACATGGCTTTTTAATATTTCCATGACTACATGCATAATGATTTGTCTGTTAATAGTACCACAACCAGTTGTATTTGAGACATTATGATGGCCATTTCTAAATATACACATCATAAAGACACTGTAATATATACATTATCTGGTATGAGATATATTAGAATTATAATGACTTGTAATATTTGATATATCATGTTTGAACATCTATTTAACACCTAATTCAGATTACATTTTTGATATGAAAGAAACTGGAAAAATAAATACTATTTGTCACTTGAAAACAATTTGAGCACATGTACACGCATTATTAAATAAAATTATATACAAAATTATATACATTACTTTTATTACTCACATTGGAATTTTGGACTAGTACATTGCATATCTATTTTCAAAACAGTAAAAAGTTATGCCCTATATTATAATAATTATTAAACTTTGTTGTAACTCACATTCAATAACATTTTGGAAAGAATTTTAAACTGCAACAAAGAATTCCACAGTCAATAAACCCAATTCATGGGAAATAGAAATATAGTCATTCACAATTTTCAGTTCTTTGACAGAATGTAATGCTAAAACTATGTAAAACGTCATTGAAATCCCGAGTTTACATTATATACTAGTTACTACATAGTCTTCCGCTGTATTCGACATATAAAAATGTAATTATGCCGAGGCACAGCCCAGATAAAATGTGCTTTTGTATGTCACATACAGTGGACGACAAGTTGTTGTATCTGACTTATCCCATGTCTGGCACTTTGAACAAAGGTTGAAATTACAAAAGCCTAGAAAACACAAGTAAGTGTAAAAGCAAAATACAAATGCAATAAATATTATCATCTTGTTCACCTATGGGAAAAATGGCATATCTTTATGCTTTAAATAAGAAAATACTCATTAAATACTACCTTAATTATTTTCTGTACAACTATTTGCCCTAAAATATATTGGTATTCAGGAATAAAAAGTCATCAAAGCACTTGAAATATGTTACAAGTTGTTCCCACCTCTCAGGTTTTTTCTCTTTCTTATTTTAGTGAGACATATTTTAAAAGGAGAGTAAAATATTAGTCTCTTTAGCTTTTTTTGTGAAAAAAATACTCTTTCAAACACAAACACCAAATGCACACACACACATGCACACATACTTACATGTAATAAAGCTGGTATTGTACAGATTCAGGGCCATCAATGTAGATATGAACATATAACTTGGTAATTTAACATATCTTCAGTTCAGTTGTGTGTTGATGTAACATGTCATTTATCAGCCTTTCTTGCTTCTAAGTTTTTTTCTGATATCTGTTTTGTATATTCATTATACTTTAATATTTTATTTTTGTTTGGGGTCCTATTATTTTACATATATACACCATTCCCAATTCCACATGGGGTTTAAGGTTAGTGTTTTGTACACAAAATACTTTTTTTTTAAAGATCCTTTTTTGTTAGTTTTTGGAGACCATACCTGTGTACCGGTCAGTCCACCAACCTGTACGTGTAACATAATATTGTCTGGTATAGACATGTTCCATTTCAAAGGTTTTAGAACAATTGTTACAAACTGGACTGAGGATCGTGTTCATATTGTGGCCAAAAATATTAACAGACTTGTTAAGGACAAAGTCCCAGTTTTTTTTTTTTTTTTAATATTTGATTGCTTCTGCAAATCGTCCCATCAATATAAGAACAGTATCAATCATTTTACATGTTCCCATTTGGTGACACCAAGTAATTCTTCTTGAACTGGTACACATTTCATCAAAAAACAAGTCCATCTCTGTACAACTTCAATACTTAGGCAACCTGAACCTGTTATTTGATGCCTGACACCGAAATGGATTTCATATATATCAAGTGCATTCTTCAAATATTAAAGATACTCCACATAATTACCCACGCCAAATATTACGTGAGCATAATAGCAGCAGATCGAAAGTGTTTGGTGCCAAGCAGCTCATTTTTTCTTAGAATATATCAATGCATCATCAGCGTTACCCATGGTAAGTAGAACATGGCCAATATTGTTGTAAGAGTCAGCGGTTTTAGCATGCTTGGTGCCTAGCAGCTTTTCCCATATTTCAAGACTTTTTTATGATATGCCAATGCCTCATGATATTTACTCATGTCATGAAGCACAGCACCCACATCGTTATATGAGTCAGCAGTTTCAGTGTGTTTGGTACCAAGCACCTCTGCACGAATTTCAAGACTTTTCTTTTGATATGTTAATGCATCATCATACTTACCCATGTCACTGAGCACAAGGCCAACATGGTTATATGATTGAGCAGTTTTAAAGTGGTGGGCACAAAATAACTTCATATATTTCAAGACTTTTCAAACTGTATGTCAGGGCATCATCATACTTACCCATGGCACGTAGCAGAACACCAATAAAGTTGTACAAGTGAGCAGTTGCAGTGTGTTGGGTTCCAAGCAGCTCTTCGCATATTTCTAAACTTTTATTAAGGTAATTCAGTGCATCATCATACTTACCCATGAGAAATAGCACAACACCAATATTTGTATATGCACCAGCAGTTTTAATGTGTTTGGTACCAAGTGACTCTTCATAAATTTCAAGACCTTTCTTATGAAGCATCAGTGCATCATCATACTTACCCATGTCACGTAGTACATGACCAATGTTTATGTATGACTCAGCAGTTTTAGTGTGTTTGGCACCAAGCACCTCTTCACGAATTTTAAGACATTTATTTTGATATGCTAATGCATCATCATACTTACCCATGTCACATAGCACACAGCCAATATTGTTATATGACTCAGCAGTTTTAGTGTGTTTGGCACCAAGCACCTCTTCACGAATTTTTAGACCTTTCTTTTGATATGCCAATGCATCATCATACTTACCCATGACACATAGCACATTGCCAATATTGTTATATGACTCAGCAGTTTTAGTGTGTTTGGTACCAAGCACCTCTTCACAAATTTTAAGACTTTTCTTTTGATATGCCAATGCATCATCATGCTTGCCATTGTCACATAGCACAAGGCCAATATGGTTATATGATTGTGCAGTTTTAATGTGGTTGGCACCAAACAACTTTTCATATATTGCAAGACTTTCCAAACTGTTTGTCAGGGCATCATCATACTTACCCATGACACGTAGCAGATAACCAATAGTGTTGTATGATTCAGCAGTTGCAGAATGTTGGGTTCCAAGCAGCTCTTTGCATATTTCTAATTTTTTCTTTTGATAAATCAGTGCATCATCATACTTACCCATGTCAGATAAAACAAGGCAAATATTGTTGTATAAGTCAGCAGTTGCAGTGTGTTGGGTTCCAAGCAGCTCTTTGAATATGTCTATACTTTTATTATAGTAATTCAGTGCATCATCATACTTACCCATGTGATGTAGCACAGCACCAATATTGTTATATGAGTCAGCAGTTTTAATGTGTTTGGTACCAAGCACCTCTTCACGAATTTTAAGACCTTTCATTTGATAAAGCAGTGCATCATTATACTTACCCATGTCACGTAGTACAAGGCCAATATTGTTATAGGAGTCAACAATATTAGTGTGTTTCGTGCCAAACACCTCTTCGTGTATTTCAAGACCTTTCTTAAAATATTTCAGAGCATCGTCATACTTACCCATGTCACGTAGCACATGGCCAATATTGTTGTACGAGTCAGCAGTTTCAGTGTGCTCTGTGCCAAGCAGCTCCACGTATTTCAAGACTTTTCTTGTGGTATTCCAAAGCATCATCATACTTCCCCATTGCAAAATTAACACTTCCAACCCTTTCATATGTTGAGGATAAGTGTATACTGGTTTGTTTTTTTAGAAGCACATTGTTTTCTTTTGTTTTTAGAACATTTGCTAACTGCATTAAAAGGTGTAGAGATTCATTAAATAAATACATTTTTTTCAATACAAAGGTTATGACCAGAATTCTTTGTATGAAATAATAATCAGCTGTGTCAACAGCCACGTCCAGTGCAGCAGTGCTTGTTGATTTATTTTGAAGGTATTTGCTTAGATGTTTAAGCAAAAACCTTCCACTGCATAACAAATGTGGTAGTATGATTGCTGCTCTTTCACTGGCAAATTTTGGAAATGAGTTTTCAAATATTGCTGCCAGCATATATGCCATGTCACTATAATATTTGCAGTACGAAATTTCCATCTCTGACTTTTTACCATGGATTTGGTTTGCTTCGGCCTCAGAAAAGGCGTTTAACAAAGGATGTAGATCATAAACCTGATCACTCACTTGGATTACAAGGGACTTGGATGTAAGACTATCAAGAATGTCTTCACATTCGCCCTCTTTTTTTTGGAGAATGTTTGAAACATCAGTCAAATGAAACGATACTGGGAATATGTATAGACTGCAGAACATATTTTTTTCGCAATCAGTCAATGCTTCAAAGGATATTTCAAAAGTTGACTTCATTCCTTCAAATTCAGATGAATCTGCAACTTCAAGAACACCCTTTCTGTCTATTTTGTCTTTCATTCGCACACCTCCTTTCTTTCTTATTTGAGGTGCTAGTAATTTCAAGGCAAGTGGACAGTATCCACAGCTAGCGGCTATTACTTCCAAGATTTCAACCTCTTCTGTTTGTGGTGCAGACCTCCCGCCTGATAGTAGCCAAGTTGATGATTTAACATCAAGATTGGATATTACTTTTTGTTTTACTTTCACAGATGTGAGGTCAAATGATTCGCGGCTGGTACAGACTAAAGATATGTGCTTTGATGCTTTCAATATATCCTGACATAATTCTAAGAACTGTTTTGCTTTCTTACCTCTCAAAAACTTATCAATGCTGTCAATGATAACCATAGTTGATGAGTTTAGCTCAGAAAGAGCCTTTTGAAATAAGTTTTGGTAGTCATCATATATTTCTTTCAAGAACATCTGAGGATTGTAGTGTTGCACAAGTGATAACCGAACAGAATCAAGATTTTCAACCTGTCTCATATCTAAAAACAAAACATCTCTACCTTCACTACTCATGCGATGCCCCATCTCTACAGCAATGCTGGTCTTGCCAATACCACCCATTCCTGTCAAAAGAAAAACTTCTGTCTTGTGCTCTACCAACTCTTGTTGAATTTCAGTTAACAAATCCTCTCGTCCACAAAAGTTACCGTCTTTTCTAGGGAGGTTTACAGACATGAGTTGACAAGCAGTAGGTACTCCTGAAACAATGGATGAAATTGCAACACCACGTGTTAACAAAAAAAATACACATTTTCAATTTAATTAGGAAATTGTGTCAATGACCAGTAAACATGACAACAAATATTAAGAAGTAAGTGAACTTTCTTTTCTTTTATTTTTTTTGTCAAAAAATATATTGATATATAAAGCATCATTACATGAAACGGGGCACATTCAATTTAATCTATTAACAACCTTCAATTATCTGCAGTCACTGTAATAATACATTAATATAAGTTACGTGTCAACAATAAAGCTATTATTGTATGCAATTTTAACAGTATACACATCAAAAAGTAAAGATATTATTGTTTGTAATTTAAACAGTTTACCTGAGGATTGCATTGGTTGTATGAGAATTTGGCCATAGTCTTGGTCTGTATAAATGTTTGACAAACGTAACAGTACTGTCTTGAGACCCTCAAAGTCACTTTGAAATATTGCTGCTGGAAGCCTGGCTGTACCATGCATATGGTTGTTACGATATGTCTTCACTCGACCAATGTCAGCTTCTGTGGACAGGTCAGTGCTGAGAGGCCTGTCCCATTTGGCACTTGGATTCAATGTGGTGATATTACGTAAGAGCAGGACAGTTAAAGTGACATCAAAATCATTTACTTTTGCAGTTATGGAAGGGGCCCCAGCTGGATACAAAATCTGCTTTTGGCTTGCATTCAGAACATTTCTCCTACTTAACTGAAGCAAGTTGTTTTTTACAGCTGGAATGTTCAGAACATTATACAATATGCCTGTTGATGGGTCAAAGTCCCCTGGATAAGTTTTGTGTAATTCTCTAGTCAATACATCTCTAAGAACATCTGTAGCACGTTCCAGAAACACTCTCATGCGAAGGTAATTTTCTTGCTCCACATCAATTTGAGGTGTGAGCAAAGGGATTGATAATGCCATCGTTTCACCTCTGAAATTAATTAAAATTATTGTCAATCATTTCATAAATAATAAAGAATTCATTGTTATTTATGACCTTGGGCAAGTAATATGTAAAGGTGTAAATATTCACTTTTAATATATTATATATGACATGAATTCGTTTTTGATTTTTTGCTTTTCATCTTTAAATAATAATTATTGTGTATAAACTTGTGCACATAGCAACATTTTTACAACCGGATTATAACATTGATGTATAAGTCAATAATTTTGCAATATGCAGCTCCACGTCAATGAATTTTAATATGTTGATTGAAACCCACAAGTGACCGTAAATAAGAAAATAACCTAATTGCCGAACTGCCCCAAAGGAGAGTCCCGTTGGGGAGTAGGGGTAGTGATCACAGTTCATGGTAAATAAAATCATCAAATCACAAATCACAGTAAATAAATCTTTATATATCTCACTGATAATGCACACTAAAACCCTGAAAATTACGAATCAATGATGATTTAATTTCAGAAAGGGACAGAAAATAAAAACCCACATTCACTAGTCACAGAAATGGGGTGCTACAGAATTAGGCCTTATAAGGTGAAGGGTCCGTGCGTTTCTGGGAAGTAAAAAGTGGTTTTCCCGGGTAATGAAAGAACAGAATTGGACCCTCCTTGAGTAACAATTTAAATATTTATAAAAACGTCCTTACGTCATGTTTAATCAACCATGACTGAGCCACCACAAGATATATTGGAACGCAGTATAAAAATTGAAATGCAATGACCTGGAACATACGTTACCGTACATTTTTAAAAAACTATTCAGGACTCTTTGCTTAACGTAAAAGACATGATAAAAATTAAAATTTGAATTTAAATTGAGACAGTCGTAGATTTTTGTTCTATACACATATATCTTTTTAAAAAATTGAATACAACTTTGAATTCATTCAATTTCATTTTTTTGACACTTCAGCATGTTAAATGCACCTCTATATTGGGTTTGGGTGTACTGCAGTGATTGAAGAAAGCGGCTGCCAAGCATGAAAATACTAGTGAATTTAGTAAAGCAGATCAAGCTCATGTTTTGGAGAATGTAAAAGGGCAAGTGTAGGACAGGCATCATTTTGTCTTTACTCACCCGAAAGAAATTTGTCTCTGCTTGAAATTCAGATTTTATATGAGGCAGTTTTTCAGGTTTTCCCAAGGTTGCTGCCTCTGAGATGTCCCAACTGACCTCCACTGAGGTTTCACTGTTGATCTTCTTAATGGCAAGGGTATGATCTGAAATTTGAGTGTTAAATCAAGATAGATTGCACATATATATTTTTTAGAATAAAATCATGGCACCTATCCAGGTAAAAGACGCTTTTATGCGTGTTAAAAGACACTCTGTATAGTTTAAATCTCAAGTTAAGTAAAAGTTGGATTATACTAAAAGTTTTATTTATCCAGGCCAATAGGCAGTAATGAAAAAATATTTTTCTCTTACCTGCACATGCATCCACCTCTTCCTTAACGTTAACTTTGTATGACCTAAGAGAGGACGTAAAAACATTCACTAAGTCCTGTGCCAAATACAAGTTTTACTCTTTGTGTGGGGTTTTCCATTGTTTTTGTTTACATAGGTAGTGCTTAGTGACGCGACCTTGAAAAGCAGACTGCCTTTGTTGTTATTTTGTAGGTTTATAAAGTGTAAATACCAGCACCGACTGTGGGGTGTTTATGTCAAGCCACCTTGACAACGGCTTGAAAACACCTTCATTCATGGCTGCATCTGCGTCTCCTAACATGTTCACATTTGAAGAATAGACATAAATAAATCTGGTTAATGTTGTTGTTCTCTTGTGAAAGAGACGAGCGCATAATTTTTATCAGTACATAATTTGTTAAGAAATCTGGACAGATAATAATTGGTGGCAAGTGTGAATTTGAAGGATTCTGGATATCAGCTAGCAGAAATGAGATTTTTCCTACTTTCATCGAATTTCGGACTTTTTGTGAACCAAAAAATATTTGAGATCACTGCTGTGACCCTCTACCCTACCCTATTTTTTTCAGTTAGTGGAAGGCTCATCCTTGGTTCATGTATTCTGTATCATACCTAACTACTGTATGACTGACTAAATATGTAGACTAATCAGGTTGCAAAAACATCATTCCTGTTATTATTATTATTTTTTTAATTTTTAGAGGGAAGAATCTTAGCAGGAATTTAACCAAATCAGTTTGGATATACACTCTTGCCCAAAATGGTTGGTACACGGAAATTTTGGGATGCATATCGCCCTGTTTCTTTCATTATTATTCATATTATCAAATTAATACTGTTTATATTGTTAAATATGTGAAGCTGAAGGATTGGTAAAGTCAAGCAGAAACAACCAATGCAAATGGGAAAAAAAGTGTTAATTTATTTAAGTTTTTTTTCTCATGCCCCCCAGAAGAGTACTTTTTTTACATAAAAGTATCAAGTGAAAAATTCAACATAAATTTATACTGTGATTGATAATTAATATGAAATTAGAGGAAATTGTCATGAAACATCTTCAGAGTTCATTATTAATCTAAATAGCGGGTATGCCCACCCCGAGCTTGAATAATGGCCGCCAAACGGCGTGGCATACTGTGAACTAGAGTTACAACTCTTTGGAGAGGAATTATGGTCCTTTCATCTTGAAGGTCATCTCGCAGTTAATCTAGATTTGCAGGGGGAGGGTTTCCTCTGAATAGCACGGCCAAGTTCCTCCCACATGTGCTCAATTGGGTTTGCATCTGGGCTTCTTGCTGACTGTGGCATCAACTGAATGCTGTTTTGTCGGATATAGTCTGCAATTAAGCTAATGTTTTTCATCCAGAGGAAGCAATGGGCAAACACCGTTGCTGCAAATGGCACCCCAAACATGTTCAGAACCACCTCCTCCAGCTATGAGAGTGCGTAGGTTCCCTGGGGAGAGGTTGTTAAATGAAAATATCCAGGAAACAATGGCTGGAGGAGGTGGTTCTGAACATGTTTGGGGTGGCATTGCAGAAACGGTATTTGCCCATTATTTCCTCTGGATGAAAACCATTACGCTGCCAGATACAGAGAGATTCTCCAGCAGAACCTGGAGCCATTCGCAAGAGGGATATACAGAGACAATTTTAGATTGCAACATGACAATGCAACTCCCCACACAGCCCGCTTAATTGCAGACAATATCCGACAAAACAGCATTCAGCTGATGCCACAGTCAGCAAGAAGCCCTGATGCAAACCCAATTGAGCACACGTGGGAGGAACTTGGCCGTGCTATTCAGAGGAAACCCTCCCCCTGCAAATCTAGATGAACTGCGAGATGACCTTCAAGTTGAATGTACCTGAATTCCTCTCCAAAGAGCTGTACCTCTAATTCACAGTATGCCACGCCGTTTGGCGGCCATTATTCAAGCCCGGGGTGGGCATACCCGCTATTTAGATTAATAATGAACTCTGAAGATGTGTCTTGACAATTTCCTTTAATTTCATATTAATTGTCAATCACAGTATAAATTTATGTGGAATTTTTCACTTGATACTGTTATGTAAAAAAAGCACTCTTTTTGGGGCATGAGAAAAAAAAACCTAAATAAATTAACGCTTTTTCCCCTTTGCATTAGTTGTTTCTTCTTGACTTTACCAATCCTCCAGCTTCACATATTTAACAATTTAAACAGTATTAATTTGATAATATGAATAATAATGAAAGAAACAGGGTCATATGAATCCCAAAATTTCCGTGTACCAACCATTTTGGGCAAGAGTGTATATTGTAGCCAGTGCAACCTGATGAATCTATACAGAAAGCCTTGCATTGAAACTTTTTTCGAAAATGATTGATGTTTTCGCAGTCTAGTTCTTTCTAATGCCATGATTATTTGTAGAGAAATATCTGTACGGTTTGCATTTATACTTTTTCCCTATTGGCTTTAATAAAAATATTTTAAATACACCTTTATATCCAAGCTCGTTCTATACTATTACCTCCACATTGACTGCAGGGACAGGTCATTTTGTTTTAGTGGTACACGTATTTAGCGATGCCTGTTTGGGGATGAGATTTTTTCGCGACTATCAGCAGATTTACAACTTTTTGCTCCCAATGCCATGCCATATTTTTTCTACTTTTTCACTGCTACTTTGCATCAATTAGTTTACCGTGCAGAAGGATTATGTAATTGTCGTTCCATCGACCCTTTAAGGACAGCGAGAATCTTCACATTTGATCTCTTCATATTTTTATTGCAAGTCACTCACGCACAATGAAAACAGGCTTGTTGAAGTTGGGTCTGTGAAAACATCTTGGTATATGGCGGTGACTTGGTATAAAATTGCAGCATAAACAGCTAATGAAATTTACTTAGTACTGATACATGGTATAGAATATCGTTCACACTCTCGTTGATTTTTATTGAAAAGACGTTTATTTTATTTGTGGTGCTAAAAAATTACTCGATAAGAAACATAGGTACACCACTGCAAGGAAAAATACATTTTATTTTCTGAGGTTACATCATTCAACAAGCATTGAATGGTCTTTTGTCTTTTTCTGTAAAGCATGAAAGAAAAGCTAGCAAATTTACTCGATAAGAAACATAGGTACACCACTGCAAGGAAAAATACATTTTATTTTCTGAGGTTACATCATTCAACAAGCATTGAATGGTCTTTTGTCTTTTTCTGTAAAGCATGAAAGAAAAGCTAGCAAATTCAAGTAAACAATCATAGATCCTTTAAGACAAAAAAAAAACATTTTTTTTTACTTTTTACACCTTTATCGACACATTTTATTAGTTCAGAGACCAATGCATCTTCACAACGTATAACAAAATTTTATATAACAATCCACGATATTTGTTCCATTATTTTAATCACTGTACCAATAGGATAGATAACCCAATATGCATAAGTGAAACAGCGAACAAATCGGTTGTGATTGTACTGCGTCTCTCATCGGCTGATCCCGAAGCTAAATCGTTTTTTTTTTTTTTTTTTCGTGTGAGGCGAATCACACGACTCGCACGAAATCAGATTTGGATTGTGCTAGGTGTGACAGTCTCAACACAATGTGCTTCACCAAAACAACAGCAGGATTTTTCACTACGGAATGCCTCGAAATCTTCGGTGTTCTTTTCCACCAAGCATGTGTCAACTTCTATCCACTACCTTGTAAAATAAATTAACATTAATAAAAGAAATAGCTTTCATTAATTAACATCACTTCCTTAATTAGATGTACATGTAGTGATTGATTATTTGTACTCACTAGATAACAAAACTGACCAGAAGAAGTATAAATGTTGTTCAAGGCTTCTTAAAATAAGAAGAAAAAAAGCATTTTGAAAAAGAATAGTACACAAGCTAAATTCTTAACAAAGTGCATATATTTTGGGTATAATAAGCCAGAGAAAAAATAAATTGTGATTAAACAATGCATTAAGCCATAGACAAACTTAGATTGTGTAGTGCCAAATGTTGTGCAAATCTCCAAACAAGCATTACATTGCTATCTTGCTTTCTTATTTTCCATTTTATCAACCTTCAGATATGACTAGTAAAAAATCTATTTTAGAGAGTATTTATACTGACATTCATGGTTTAAATACAGCACTTATAAAAAATAAAACATAAATATAACAATTACATTTTAATTTAGTACAGAAAATTTAGTACATTTTACAGAAAAAAAAGTATGATTAACAATACAACACAGATTATCATCCACAATAGGGTTTGTTTAAAATAATTCAGTTAACTGACACTATACAAAAATCAACAGTATGGTTATTAATAACAAATTAAAGACACAACAATAAAAATCCATACCACAGTAAAATTAAAACAGAAAAATAAGTTACATCATTGTCATTGACACAAAAACAGTACCTCTAAAAATACTTAACAAATATGTTAAAGCAATATACCCATGTTGCCACTTGCAATATATTTCCAGTATTTAATAATGATAATAATAACAATAAACAATCATAGCTCCATACATGTCCTATATACCATACATGTAATCATAAAAAACTGTTAACTAGATTTTTTCGTGTGTCACCAAATACCAGGTTTTGTACCAATTTAACAAATGCATTAAATTGTTACAGTGCAGAAAAGCAGTGCATGGCGTTCCCAGTTCTACCCCCATTTTCACATTGTTTACTGGGATACATATACCTGTACATGTCACAAGCTGTGTATTTGCGTTACTTGCATTGCAAAAAATTCAGTTTAGACCAAATTAAGAATGAAGCAAAATACATGTAATTGCAGTGTAAATAAGAATAAAATATCAAGTACAAATAAAAAAAAAAAAAAAAAAAAAACGTGGTCAACCTCCAAGCATGCAAGGTTATTGCTGATTTCCAGGTCAAGGTCAGTTAAGGTCAAGGACAATGTCAAGTTCAAAATTAAGAGCAAAGTCAAGGTCTGGAATAAGGCTCCTGTTCAGTTCAAGGGTTAAAATGAAAGCCAAGTCCAGGGTTATGACCAAGGTTAAAGGTCAAGGTCACTCAAGGATGTTGAGCACTAGCACCACATCACTCAAAGCTATAGTTATCCACTTTCCCATACTTCTGTTTGAGGCGTTGAAGTTCATCCAGGGACCAGTTCCCCGTGGATTCCCCCTCCTTGCCTGTATGGACCTGCTGCCTGACCTTGGCACTGTGGCTGCGACCTTGCACAGGGACCTGGAGGCAGACAATGGGGTACATGTAAACTATGTCTTCATTCTTAGTGTGTGTTCAGATTGTGATGTTACTGACACTATTATGACATTTATAAGGTCAATTATGTAACAATATTTATAACCTGTCAGTGACAGTTGTGACACATGTTCAAGCTGACTGCGTTACAACCATGAAACTGTGTTAGAGAGTTGTACTCAGTACTAGTATGACAGTATTGGTATTCTATAATTGACCCAAGATTATTTTGTAACATTCCTCATCATCACATCATGTAAGACTCCATTTTCCAAACTTGTGATACCAGTTTATGTTATCATTACTGAGGAGATCGAGTGAAACTCTTAAACCTCAGCTGATTAAAATATGACAATATCTTAAAATAATGTCTTGCTGTGCTTTTACACTAAATACTGTACACACTGCTGAGTGTTCGTACATCAGTTGTATATAAGACAAATCAAAACAAAGTATAATTGTTAAACAATGCATTTCCCAGTATATATACAGTATACTGTCATAAAAGAACATCCGTGATTACATTTTTTTAAATTTTGCATCTTTCTTTACTAGCATCTGTTGAACTCTAGATATCACTGAGCATAGGATCCAATGAATATATTCAATTAATACAATTCAAATGAAAATCTACCCCTATACAAAACATTTCTCCACTCACCTTAATCTTCTGTGCATCTTTATCCCTGGTTAGCTGGTCTACTGTGACTGGGGCCCCTCTGTCTGGGTTTGTGGCTGGGGTGGGGCTGTCAATACGACCTGCTTTGGTGGTGGGACTGGTGGCTGGACCTAAATTTTATGGAGAGAGAGTGATTGATAATAAATATATATGAGATGAGCTGGATCTAGGTTACAAAGAAGAGAAAATGATAGATCATAAACATATACATGTAGGAGGTTCCATGTAATGCGTAACCTTTATAATCTACCAGCTCATCAAATTATTGTTGACCTACAGGGTATCTTGTACAAGTTTTGTGGTCATTTTTACGCTAAGCTGATACATTGTACACAAAGGGTATTACTGGGCAAATGTGTTAATCAAGGGAACCAAATTGAATTACCACTGACCACATTGGCAAAAGCTTGGCTTATTCTGTGATCTGTGTACAATGATAACATGGATGGATGCATGGTGTATGCTATATGTAACTATTATAAGGAGACAGGGCTAAGGCGTGCCAGTCTTTGGTTTGTGCGTGCCTTCTCGTTTACTCACCTCCAACACGCACACACTCCTCTTTGTGTCGTGCATTCCACGCCTTCAGCTTGCACGCTTTGCTGCAGTAGTACACCTCCTTACACCGTGTGCACACGGACAGGCGCACACCTACTGATCGACCGCATTCGTAGCAGTACTTCAGTAAAGGTTTCCTAAATATTGAGAAAAAAAGAATCACAAATAAATTGACATTATTAACATAAAATATATGTTCTAGTAAGGGCATATTTAAAATGAAGAAACTTTTCTTTCAGACTGAGGTTATGTACTACAGTTATGTTACAACAATCAAACACTACATGTATGTAATATATATATATCTTGTACACTTTTTTAAGTTGCTAAATGAACCCATCTCTTGTTTATGTGTATCACATCATTATATAAAAACAACTCTGTGACACCCAGTGGTAGTCTAGTGCGCTCTATTAACCTGTAATAATAATAGTCAATGGTTTTATGTTCTTATTCTATATGTGCTCATGATCACTCCTTGCTACAACAAACAACACTGCAATCTAAGGTGGATTTTGCTAGTACATGGGAGAAGGCGAAGTACAGGTATATTAC